AATGAAATCTTTGAAGGCAATTGGTCCATAAAGTTCATCAATAATGTCTGGTTCAAGATGCCTTCCATAGGTCCAATATTCCTTGTCAGGGACGACTTCAGGGTCAGGCAAAGGCTGGTCATTGACCAGCTTTTTCCAGCATTTGGGGTCCAGGTTCCATGCTCCATACCTTATCTTCTCCTGTTTGGGTTTATAAGGGTCTTCAGGTTTTCGGAGTTTTCTTTCCAAGTTACCTTTCTGCAGGGAGAATTTTCTCTGCTTTATTTCATCTAGCTGTTTTCTGTGCTGGATATTCAAAGGAAGGTGGCTTATTTCCTTTATTTTGACTGTATTATCGGTCTGTGGGACCTCAAGGTCAATTCCAAACTTTTTCATGATGTCCTCTTTATCAATGTCTATGTTTTCAAAATTCTCATCCATCAATCTGCAGAATTTAGGAACTGTTGCTCTTCTTTGTTTTTGGTAAACAGGAACTTTGGGGATATCCATCATGCATAATGCTTTTGTCTCTTCCTCAGGAAACAGACTGCTTACATTTGACTGGAGACTCTCCTTGGCGGATTCCAGGTGGGCTTTTTCTGCAGGTTCTAGGTTGACCTCCTGGGGAGGTTCCAGGTTGACGTCCTCGGGAGTTTCCAGGTTGACCTTCTCAAGATGTTCTTCACACAGGTGTGTGGGGGTCTTCTTTCTTTCCTTGGTGCCCTCACAATACGCCCACGTGTCCTCCAGCTCCCTGTCAGGATCTAGCACTTCCAGGACCTTGAGCAGGAGGTCTGGAGAGAGATCTTTCTCCAGTTTTAGGTAGGTTGCCAAGGGATGCTTGCTCAGGGTGGCTTCAGTGTTCTCTACAAAGGCCTTCCGTACTGGCTGGGCTGCCAAGAGCTTGGAACACAGGTCCACTCCCTTGGGCGGCTGCCTATGAATCTTTTTGGGTGGAGGGCGGGGAATTCTATGAGCAACCTTGGGGAGGAAGCCCTCCCGAGGGCCACGAGTGATCACATCTTCAGGAGATGGACAGCCCGTTCTGAAGTCGTCCAGTCCCTCCTTCACAAATACCCACCGCCGGCTGTCCATGGAGGTGGGGCACTTCCCAAGCTTGTTGTTCTGCCTGGAGAGATAGCGGGAAGGCAACCTGTCCCTGTCCTTGAACCAGGGCTTACATTTCATGCCCAGAGGCAAGGGCTCCAGTGGCCTCGACCCAGGCAGCCACTTCTTGCTGGGCTCTGGCTTCTTGTCCAGCTTCAGCCCTGACTGCCACCGCTTGATCAGCCCCGACTTTATGAGCGCCTTCTTCCTCAGGTCCGACTTTAACAGCCAGCCCTCGTGGGGCTCTGGTAAGGGCCACTGCTGGCCCGCCATGGCGCCCTTGGTCCAGGAAGCCCAGGGGCCTCAGGGGTTTGTTGTCCCAGCCGCCCAGTTGCTAGGAGACCATTACCACGTGCTGCCGCATTCTTATTCTTTCCTGAGGCGGGTCAGCACGTGCCCCTGCACAGCCTGCATTGTCCCGGGATGGCCCTCAAGGTTGCATTCTTGCTTGTGGTAGAGAACTGTTCCCGTGTAAGGGCACACCACAGGTCAGCTGCCCATTCATCTTTTGATGGACTTTTAGATTGATTCTAGTTTGAGGCTGTTTGGAAATCAAGGGGCCACGAATGTTTCACGTGTTTACATCTTCATACAAGTACTTTCATTTCTCCTGGATAAATTATAGCTAGGAATTGAAAGGCAGGAGCTTCTGAGAGCCGTGTTTTTTCTATGTACTCACAGCCCTCAGGTTTTTATATTTGCCCTAATTTGAGTGAGGTGAGTGAGGCATTGGGTATACAACTTAAGGTAGCCCCCAAAATCCCCCTCAGAAATCAAGATCAGTTATCTTTTAAGGTAACATTTTCAACAATAATCAGAGAAACAGTGCCATATTAAAGTCTGAGGATAAAGGATAGATCAGTACTCCTACTGAACCTGTCTGAATTTAAAACGCATGTGTTGTTCTCCATCGATTTTCTTTTTACAAATAGTATTTGCATTTTTTCGATACCATTATGTTGCTTGCAAAGAGTTTGATTCCTTGGTGTCCTTTTTAAAATTTTATTGAAATAAACAGAGCAGTTCCCTGTGATAATACATGGCTAAATAGTGTTATACCATGTTGTATGGTTAACTGTTCCTCACTTCTGCAACAAGACCCTTCCACGTAAATTATTCAATGCCTGTGTATCTGGTTTTCTAGTCTGGCTGACAGTAAAGGTCGCTATTGCAGGCCCTGTGTGAGTATCAGTTACCAAGAATCCTTTCCAGTGGTTTCTTTCCTGGCTTCTACTAATGTATTCACACAGGAGCTGATCAGTAATCAGCTGAATTATTCGTGTGGGGTGCAAGATTCTGGAGTTCCCTCTCTTTCTCTCATTTTCCTCTCTGGTTGTCTGCCTTGAGAACTCTACCCACCTTTTTCTCCACAGTGTCTTAGCTTCATCTCCTCTACATAGAGTGACTGCTGGTCTTTGCCTGGGTTCTACCTCTCTGAGATGTGGCCTAGAAACTCAAGGAATGTGGAGCCATCATAGAACTCACCTCCTTTATTTACTATCTCTGAGGGATCAGTGTCTGCTTCCTGATGTCCAGTGTCTTTCATAATTTTATCTTATTTTATTTCATTTTTTCACAGGTGTTCCAGGGCATATATCTGATCCCTGTTACTCTACTTTGGCCAGAACAGAAAATATAATTTACTTCTTTTTTAAAACATATATTTTATTGATTTTTTACAGAGAGGAAAGGAGAGCGATAGAGAGTTAGAAACATCGATGAGAGAGAAACATTGATCAGCTGCCTCCTGCACACCCCCTACTGGGGATATACCCACAACCAAGGTGCATGCCCTTGACCAGAATCAAACCTGGGACCCTTCAGTCCGCAGGCCGACGCTCTATCCACTGAGCCAAACCGGTGAGGGCTAATTTATTTCTTTTGTTTTGTCTCCATCAATTTGTGAGTCTGCCTTTTCAAAGGTCACCGATGACTTCTAAACCATCAAATACCTTAAAATTCTTGCTGTTCTCCATGATTAGAGATTGTAGATCACACCCACATTACTGAACAAATGCCTCTCTTATAATCCATAGGAATCTATTTTTCTTTTTTTTTCCTATTACTTAGGATACTCATCTACTTTTAAATCCATAAAATAAATACTGAATTCCTTAGCATATAACATTAGGTGTTTTACCATTTCAATGCATAATCCACTCCATGACCATTGATGCTGTTGCAAATGGTAAGAGATATTCCTTTTTTACAGCTGCATAGTATTTCATTGTGTAAATGTACCACAGCTTTTTTATCCACTGATCTGCTGATGGGCAATTAGGCTGTTTAGAAATCTTAGTTATTATAAATTGTACTGCTATGAACCTTAGGGATGCATATATTCTTTCTAATTGGTGTTTCTGATTTCTTAGGATATATTGCTAGGAGTGGGATCACTGGGTAAAATGGGAATTCCATTTTTAACTTTTTGAGGTAACTCCATACTGTTTTCCACAGTGGCTACGTCAGTCTGCATTCCCACCAGCACTGTACTGGGGTTCCCTTTTCTCCACATCCTCTTTAACACTTTTTGTTTATTGATTTGTTGATGATAGCCATTCTGACAGGTGTGAGGTGATAACTCATTGTCAATTTAATTTGCATCCCACTGATGATTAGTGACTGAGCATTTTTTGTGTATCTTTTGGCCTTCTGTATGTTCAGTTTGGAGAAATGTCTATGTATGTCCTTCGTCCTTTTTTAAATTGGATTGTTTGTTTTCCTTTTGTTAAGTTGTGTGAGTTCCCTACATATTTTGGAAATGAACCCTTATTGAATGTATGATTGTCAAATATATTCTCCTATTCAGTGGGCTCTCTTTTCACTTTATTGATGGTTTCTTTTGCTGTGCAGATACTTTGTATTTTGATGTAGTCCTAATTTATTTATTTTCTCCTTATTTTCATTTGCCCTAGGGAATGTATTGGCAATCATATTGCTACGTGAGATGCCTGAGATTTTGCTGCCTATGGTTTCTCCTAAGATTGTTATGGTTTCATAATTTACTTTAAGTATTTTATCCATTTTGAGTTTATTCTTGTGTATGGTGTAAGTTCGTGGACTATTTTTACAGAGAGGAAAGGAGAGCGATAGAGAGTTAGAAACATCGATGAGAGAGAAACATTGATCAGCTGCCTCCTGCACACCCCCTACTGGGGATATACCCACAACCAAGGTGCATGCCCTTGACCAGAATCAAACCTGGGACCCTTCAGTCCGCAGGCCGACGCTCTATCCACTGAGCCAAACCGGTGAGGGCTAATTTATTTCTTTTGTTTTGTCTCCATCAATTTGTGAGTCTGCCTTTTCAAAGGTCACCGATGACTTCTAAACCATCAAATACCTTAAAATTCTTGCTGTTCTCCATGATTAGAGATTGTAGATCACACCCACATTACTGAACAAATGCCTCTCTTATAATCCATAGGAATCTATTTTTCTTTTTTTTTCCTATTACTTAGGATACTCATCTACTTTTAAATCCATAAAATAAATACTGAATTCCTTAGCATATAACATTAGGTGTTTTACCATTTCAATGCATAATCCACTCCATGACCATTGATGCTGTTGCAAATGGTAAGAGATATTCCTTTTTTACAGCTGCATAGTATTTCATTGTGTAAATGTACCACAGCTTTTTTATCCACTGATCTGCTGATGGGCAATTAGGCTGTTTAGAAATCTTAGTTATTATAAATTGTACTGCTATGAACCTTAGGGATGCATATATTCTTTCTAATTGGTGTTTCTGATTTCTTAGGATATATTGCTAGGAGTGGGATCACTGGGTAAAATGGGAATTCCATTTTTAACTTTTTGAGGTAACTCCATACTGTTTTCCACAGTGGCTACGTCAGTCTGCATTCCCACCAGCACTGTACTGGGGTTCCCTTTTCTCCACATCCTCTTTAACACTTTTTGTTTATTGATTTGTTGATGATAGCCATTCTGACAGGTGTGAGGTGATAACTCATTGTCAATTTAATTTGCATCCCACTGATGATTAGTGACTGAGCATTTTTTGTGTATCTTTTGGCCTTCTGTATGTTCAGTTTGGAGAAATGTCTATGTATGTCCTTCGTCCTTTTTTAAATTGGATTGTTTGTTTTCCTTTTGTTAAGTTGTGTGAGTTCCCTACATATTTTGGAAATGAACCCTTATTGAATGTATGATTGTCAAATATATTCTCCTATTCAGTGGGCTCTCTTTTCACTTTATTGATGGTTTCTTTTGCTGTGCAGATACTTTGTATTTTGATGTAGTCCTAATTTATTTATTTTCTCCTTATTTTCATTTGCCCTAGGGAATGTATTGGCAATCATATTGCTACGTGAGATGCCTGAGATTTTGCTGCCTATGGTTTCTCCTAAGATTGTTATGGTTTCATAATTTACTTTAAGTATTTTATCCATTTTGAGTTTATTCTTGTGTATGGTGTAAGTTCGTGGACTAGTTTCATTTTCTTGCATATATCTGTCCAATTTTCCCAACACCATTTATTGAAGAGACTATCATTATTCAATTGTATGTTTCTGGCTTCTTTTTTGAAAATTAAACTAATGGACCTTGGTCATAGAGAACACTTTATGAACATGACCCCAAAGGCAAGGGAAGTTAAGGCAAAAATAAATGAATAAGACTATTTCAAACTAAAAACCTTCTGCACAGCAAAAGAAACTGACAACAAAATAAAGAGGCAGCCAACCAACCAGGTGGGGCATGATATTTCAAACAATAGTTCCAGTAAAGGTTTAATTTCCAAACTATATAAAGAACTCATAAAACTCAACACCAAACAAACAACCTAATCAAAAAGTGCATTTATTGAAGAGACTGTCGTCTTTACTGTGTATGTTCTTGCCTCCTTTGTCAAATATTAATTGAACATAATGGCTTGGGTCAATGTCTGGGTTCTCTGTTCTATTCCATTGATCTGTATGCCTGTTTTTTTGTGTGTGGGTTTTTGTTGTTGTTGTTGTTGTTGCTGTTTTTTGCCAGTACCATGATGTTTTGAGTACAGTGGCTTTGTAGTATAACTTCATATCTGGTAGAGTTCTTTTTCCAACTTTGGTCTACATTTTCAAGATTGCTGTGGCTATTTGAGGTCTTTTTTATTCCATATAAAGTTTTGAAGAGTTTGTTCTAGATCTGTGAAATATGCCATTGGTATTTTAATAGGGATTGCAATGAAGCTATAGATTGCTTTGGGTATTATGGACATTTTAATTATATTGATTCTACCAATCCATGAGCACTGTGTATTTTTCCAC